CCGGCCAGCGATTTGTACAGGGCCTCGGCGATTGCTCTGTTTTGGTCCTCTGCGTCGCTGCACTCGACGATTTCGGATTCTGCCATGTGGGTGGAAGTGGAATCCATTTTTGAGAAATGGGGTTTGTTTTGGTGAGGGATTTGAGCTCAAAGCTCTGAAATTGGTTGGGGATTTTGGCGATTTGTGCATGGAGAAGAATGGGGTGTGGCAGGGCTATTTATAGATAGCAGAGAGCAAAAATTTATTCATTGTGTCTAATTAAGTTAGTTAAGGTTGAATGCTTTGGAAAGTGTCTAAATAAGTTTGTAAAATTTGAATTTTGTCATTTGATGGGTGAGCAAGAGATTTCTACTCATCAGTCAAGGATAAGTGTTATTGTCCATACATATCTAAATTTTCAATTTTGAATTGCGGCATGACTCGAGGTGGATTTTCAATTTGATCGATGTAATTTAAAATTTTCAATTTAATTCTTATAATTATTTATCAAATCTTGCAATGATCGTTGTTGTAATAAGTGACACGTTTTCTATTTACACGATACTGAGCCTGTATCTTTTATTTGATTAATTGTGTTTGTTGGATATATTAGGACTCGTTTGATAACATCCTTGTTGTTAGATTCAAGGACGATAAAACAAAATCTTTATTTACGTTAAAATAAATTATAAACGGGAACAAGAAACAAAATATTTGCTTTTATTGTTCCCAAAATTTCTATACCATTTTAAAAATATTTCTAAAAGATGAGAAMTAAGAAATCTACRTAGTTGTAAAATACTTAGATTTCTTAATAAAATTGAAAACAATAAACAAAAATCAGGAAACGTTACCAAATGTCCCTTAGARTTTATAATCGGAGTAAAAAATAAGTAAATTTTTYAAGCGAAGAAAAACAGTTCAAAGATGATTTGTGAGGTCGAGCCGAAGTGTGAAATGAATCGTGGTTCTAAAGAGGGGATTGATGATCCATCCAAACGTTGATAGCTGAACCTGTCGAAGACAAATAAAAATGGGTGCCACAAAGATACAAAGTAAATAGAAAAGAATCCTCTACTGTTTGATTGATTGAAAATGCAACCATCTAATCTCTCCTCTAAAAAGGGTTTTTTTCCCTCTTTCCCAAAAAGAAAACTTTTTGGCAGCTGTCTAGATCAAGTTGAATCATTTAGACTATAAATGGTTCCAGTTTTGAGAATGGATGAAAAGATTGACTACTCACGTGGGAATTAATTTTCTATGTATTTTTTTTTGACAAATAAATAAAGTTAGATGATTATCTTCTGAGATCAGTAGAGGTGGATATAAGAAGAAAAAATAATAATTATTATAATCCTTATCATAAAAATAATTCAACATTGTAACCGCGAGAGTTATGATGTTTAGTCACTAATGTCAAAGTTTAGCCTTCTAGAAGCTTAGGGTGGGATAATAGTCTATTTTAAAGTGATTTTAATGTGAATAAACGTTCTTACTTATTGGTTGATTGTAATGTATTTGATTTTTCGTCACTAAATGTTTAATGTCATGTAGTGTAATATTATTTCATACATCATAGAGTAAATATAGTTTGCCTCCTCGTTTGAAAGAAATAAAATTTGAAAATTTTTAAAATGATATGAAATTACGAATTAGAGTAAGGTTTTGAGTTTTCTCACCGTTTGATTAAGAATTTGACAAARGTATGTGAAGGTTGGCAATGAATGAGCTAACTATTCAAACGAGCTGAAGTTACATAAATATGAGACCTGCAAAATAGAGTAAGCACTCTGACGCTGAAGTCAGTAGTTGGTTATCTATGCTCTAGAGATAATATAGTTTTGCGTACCTAAAATTAGGCGGGAGGTTTCTGTTTATAGGTAGGACTTTTGATAGGACTTCCAACAAGCCTCGACAGCTCAAAAATCGCTGCATGTTTTCGTGGATTCTATTGGCGGTTTGTACATGCATAAGTGTAGGTCGATTCGGCTGATAACTCAAGTGATCAAAGTATGAGTTTATCATCGGCTCAGTTGATATCTCAAGCTATTGATATGTGAGTTTTTGGTCCGCTTGCTCTAGAACATAGGTCGTGACTGTCTCCAGTACGTAGTTTGGCTTAGTCTTTACAAAGGTCCGAGCTACAGTTTCGTATGAATCACTGTGCTGA